TTAGTCACATTTAGGCTTATACATCAGGTCTCTGTGAGCCTTGTTAGGCCAGAAGCCCTAAATCCCATCATTTTGGAGGCACCAATAAGAAGAAAAGTATAAATGTGTTAAGCTAAGGCCACAACCTGGGCCAGGTTGAGTTCTCCAAGGCTGTGCTACCCCGTGAGGTTTCTGGGCAGTCAGCCAGTTTACTGTCTACTGAGATCACTTCATCCTTGCCAGGAGCCTTTCTTCCTAACCTAGTGATCTTGCTCTTATGTCCCCTATATGGAGTCGGCCTCTCTTGTACAACTACACATATGGGAAACTCCCTTATGAACTCCCTTACCATTTGGGACAGTTTAGCCCCAGATGGAAAATCCCACCTGGGTCTTTGGAGCCTATTTGGGTCTTACGTTTTTGAAGCCTCGATAAAGGACTTGCAGCTCCCTCTTGGTGAAATTGGTCTGTGCCTCAAGCTGCTCCAGTCCCTCAGGCCGGTGGCAAACGATGGTCATCTCCAGCTCATCTTCAATCTTATCTGGAACCAGAGGAGATGGCATTGGAATGGCGGACCTCGGTGGTCACTCTTGCCAGATCACAGTCAGGGCTGTTAAAAGAGTAGTGTCATAACCCAGGACGTAGGGCTGTGAGCTGGGGTCATACTGCAGATGACCTTCCTGCCTTGAACCCTACCTCCCTGCCCAGCCAGTCTCTGTCTCAGGCAAGTCCACCCGTCTCTGTAAGTGTGTCAGACACCACATAGGGAAGGAGCTTCAGCGCTGGAGGTAAACATGTTCCAAGTGGAGATGAGAGCAGAAGTGCTCAAAGTAATTTCATCTGAAAACACTTCCCTTTCTTTCAAAACAACCTCTTTGCATGTTCAAATTGCTACCCACTAAACTTTCTGACTACTCCAGAGACACAGGTAAATAATAAACATTTTCCAAACAGCAAAGGGAAAGGAATCTATTACAAAAACAGAGTAAACTCTCACCATTTGGGCCAACTAGGGAAAAGCTAGAATGGTCTAGCAAAAAGTTCAAATTATGGCATGTTAAATATTAATTATAAAAATCTGAATATATTTCACAGTGCATTGTTTTGTAATATCTGCTAGATATCCTTAAATACTAGGAAAATGACTTAAATGGGAGGTACGTTGTGTAAATGAATGCTTCTAAAGCATCTGAAGGGCTCTAAGAACAGTTGTCATAAGTAGTAGTTTAACTGTGCCTCCCTTATGTACTATAATTATTCAAAAAGTGTCTGTCAATTAAAGCAAGAAATCTGCCCATCTCCCATCGGAGGATCATGAAGTCCAAATCAATGGAACTTTCAATGTTTAACCATCACAGAGGGATGTGAGTGTTTTCCTTTGGACCCCGCTGGCATGCTTTTTATAAATTTACTCCAATCAAGAATCAATTGCCACCTAATCTTCTCTGCCTGTTGTTGTCATGCAGACATTACCAAATCCATATATTGAACGACTGTAAATCTGGGCTGGCAAGAACAGTGATGAGACAGGCAGGCTGCTGGGAACATACACATATCACATCACACCCCATGACCACCACGAGGAAGAACAGGCTGCTTCTACATCAGAGAACTGGGTGAGCAGGTGCATTAAATTGTGTACATTTCACTAATCAGTGTTGGTCTCTTCAAGTGCCAGATTTTCTCTGCAATTGCCACTTTCTCTTTTGAGACTTTGATCCCAATACAAAAGGAATCCATCAGAATAAGTTTGTATTTTGTACGTATTCCTCAAAGTAATGGATGTTCAGGTAAGGCTCTGGTAACTTGGTTAACATTCCTAATTGTTATCTTTCTTATGTGCTGGGCAACACATACCCCTTATCCTTCTGGGAGTAAAGGCAGATGATTCAGTATAAATAAGATAGTCTGTTTATACAATATAGAGGCAAGTGGCCAATTTCCTCATAATTCTTATAGAGCCTTTAATTATTGTTATGTTTGTAACTAGTGAGTTAACTAGCAATTACCTAAATGCTGAAGTGTTTTTTGTGTAAACCAAAGGGATGATTAAAAAAAAGGGGGGGGGAGTGTCTAATGCAGAATGCAGACATTTTACGTATTTTTAAACTCATTTTAAAATAGAGATCAATTGTTGGCTTAAATCTCCTAGCATTAGATCTAATAGCATTTTTATTTTTAAAAAATGCACATCTATTTAACTGTGCATATATTCTGAAAAACTTCAGAAGGGGTGGCAGAGATTTTTGTATCTCTCCTATTGCCCCTTAGGGATTCTCTGGGTGCTGCCCAGGTGGTCCCAGTAAAGGAAGGAGAAAAAGCAAAAATCATCTTAGAATGTAAATAAGGAAAATAAAATAATACTGTTTTTTTGAGAAGAAATGATGCATTTCTTAGTGTCCAGTATACTGCCCTGGGTTTGTCTTATTCAGAAGCATAAAATAATTTTTGCAGTATTGTCTTACTCCTTAATCTTCCTGTGACTGAATTCCTCACAAAGCTCAGGAAAATTTTTTTGCAGAAGTTTGAAAGAATCTTTCTGATTCAGAAACAC